CTTCAGTTCCGGTTTGTTTTTTTGTCGGCTCTTTTTCCTGTTGGCATTTGCCTGTGGGGGTTGGGTCGCTGGACTTCTTGCTCTCCTCCGCAGGAGTTTTCTGCTCCTTCGGTCTTGGCGTTTTGGTTGTTCGGTGGTAGCCGTCTCTATCTTTTCTGGCACGGGATGGGGCTGCTGCGTTCCGGAAGGGTCCTTGGTTTGTTGGTGCTAGGTTGGTTGGGCCGGGGGTGTGTCGGGTTTTGTGTTCAGTGGCGGCCCTCCGCTGTTATTTGCGTGCCGCGGCCTCTATGTCCGGGGCGCGCTTTGCGTTGATCCGGTTCCGTTCTTCCCTGTTCGCTGGTGAAGGTGTCCTGAGTTGTCTGCCGTGTTATTGCGGCTAGCCTGCCTGTGTTCTTTCCCCATGCCCATGGCGTTCCTGGTTTTGCTGCTCTTGCTGCCATCTGGGCGGCGTGTCCTTGCTGTCATTCGGGCACAGATTTTTTGGTGTTCGTACAAGGGCCTTGCTGCTCGTTATCTCGTGTTGCTCCCGGGCCCTTTCGGGGCTGTGTCGCCTTGGGTTAGCGTTTGCTGCCGGTTGTCTCGCTTCTGTTGAGGAGTGCGTGGTGTCCTCCTCCTGGTTCCATCCCTTTGACCTTCCTCTGTGGGTAGTTAGCTCCGGGGAGCCGACAGAGCTCCCCCCCAGAAAACCAGCGTTGAATGTAATGAAACTCCATTTTCTGGGTGAGACCCGGAGGCTCCCCGGCAACCCTCCCTCCCTCCGGTCGGCGGTTTTGACATACAGCCTCAGAACTGATGAATGGATAGCCAGCGTGAGAGGTCTGGGGCTCCCCCTTCCCCCTCCCGGGGAGGAGGGAGCTGCACAGACAGCGGCGCGGTGACGTGTGACGTCATACTAGTTTGCTTGTTTTCTGTTGGGGAGTTCTATCCACTAGTTCAGCTTTTGGTAGCAATTTTAACCAGAATAGGGGTTTGTTTTGGAATGCTTACCTTTCTGGATGCTTGACCCGGTCGATGGCAGACATAGAATGCTTCCAACCACACGGGGGTTTCTATAGGCCATTGCTCCCCTTGCCTCTCTGAGGGGGCCAGGTTCAGGCCGTGGTCCCCGGTAGGCCCTAGAACTCCATACACATGACTGATGCCAAAGTCTGTCATTAGCATATCAGCCTGGTAATGCTCCGGGGAGCCTCCGGGTCTCACCCAGAAAATGGCGTTTCATTACATTCAATGCTGGTTTTTTCTTGACATCATTTCAACACATAGCGACCTACAACTTTCACATATTCGAGTACGAATGCCAAACAATGTTTATCAAAACATAAAATTAAATTAACGAGTTAAAACTACCTTTATTCATTGTTGATAACTTCATCTTCAATTATCCCTGAAACTAAAGTTTCATCTTTGAGTGGCTTCTAAAATTCTAGTTTTTGATCAATTCTCACTATTTTGACATATTATGTGCTCAGCTGTCTGTTCTGCAATCCCTTCAGAATGGATTTTTCATAAACTTTATACATTTGGAGTTATAATTTTTGAAGTCTAAATTTGCCTCATACATACAGTACTTCAAATGCCTTATTGAAATTTTTTTTATAGTAAACTATATTGAAAACCTATATTCTAATTTGATGAAAATGAAGATCATATGCTATTCTAAGAGAATAATAACATTAAATGAACAATTGGTGATAGTTTATATTTTTTATTCTGAATTGAAAATCTGAAATTTTCAATATTCAAATTTAAAATTAACTTTGACTCTTGTGTTTTTCAAGTTATGCTCTGATCATTTAGACAAAGTTGGAACATTTTCCTAGTTGATTATGCAAAAAAAAATTGTTAAGTGTTTGTGCAAGTTTTAAAAACTTATGTTAAATTATTTTGTCAAATCGTATATGTATGTATTGCGCTGTTGAAGGGTTAAGCATTTTTTCGAGGCGTCAGTTTCTGAAAACCGGCAGTGGTTTGTTTTGACTAGCCAACTTTCTGGTTGCCTTCCCTGGTGAGGTGGCAAAATTAAAGGTTACCACTCTCTGCACTTCTTTGAATGGGCCAAGTTTTGGTGCTAATCTCCGGTAGGTTTATAGAACTGCATGGCTAATGCGATATAGTTGATGGTACTATCTCAGCATACAGTAGCTTCATGGAACCACCATGGCTTACCCAGAAATTGGCATTTCATTACATTCTACACTGGTCTGACTAAGCTGGATTTTGTATTGCAGCAATATTTTGACATTTCCAGCTTTGGCAGGTAGATGGTTCCATGGTTTTATAATCCTATGGGTGAAAAAGTATCTCTAGTTTTCTCTCGTACATTGTGGCTTGTTAAGCTTGAAGCTATTGGTCATTGCCTGTGTTACATCTGACTTATACTCAAATGGGCCAACAGACTTACTACAGTGTTTCCTGATTCTTATGTTCTTTATGACTAATCATGTCTGTACCATGGAAAAGTTAAAGTAAACAAAACTCAAAACACCTGTGGTGTGCACTATCCATTAATTTGTGCACATGTAACACAGGGTGTGAGGATGGAGGTATGGGATGTGTAATTCCTTTACTCTTTTCATCTTTTAGTTAACTTTACCTTGCTTTAATTTATACCATAGGTCCTCTTTAGTCTTATACTTGACTGTTCATTGCTATAGGGAAGTGATGGGGCCCACCCCAAATCTTAATTACAAGCTTACCCACTCTGGTAACTGCCATGTTTAAGTTTTTCTAGTAATTATGGTTCTTTAATCTTCAGTAACTCAAAGGGGAGGGAAAAAGGGAGGAAGGGGAAATACTACTCATTTTAAATGGAAGACAAAAGGCAGGAAACTTTACTACCATTAAAAAAAGTGGGGAGAAAAGGAGGAAAAGGGGATTTGCTGCCAACACCTTTATGCTTATAGACTGCAAAGGAAGTATTTCTATAATCTTAACTTATTATCTCACTCAGATAACCATTTCCTTAATACTACATTAAGCAAAACATATGTAATGATTAAACCAAAACCAACAGTACTCATGACGTATTGGTAAAACACTCACGCGGCGCTTCGCAAGTGCATTGGCCTGGGTTCGTATCCTGGCCACGGAGGATTTACTTGGCACCAATCCTTAACTGTAGCCTCTGTTCACCCAGCAGTAAATGGGTACCTGGTTGTTAAGCGATTTGGCAGGTTGTATTTGGGAAAAATTAGGATTAAGGACTTGCCTGAAATGCTATGCGTGCTAGTGGTTATACAAGATTGTAAGAAATCTCGTATATATAAATAACAAAATTAACTCAAAGTACAGAGGAATGGAACTAAGTGAGATAATGATAAAAGGGAATTCTGCCACCCCCAAGGGTCTCAGTCACCCCGAGACACCAGCCTGTATATAACTGAAGGATGTGTCAGTGTTCTCCCGTTAAGCTACTGGTCTGTGTTTTCTCTCCCTCTGATTGATATCTAATGCAACTGCCTTTGTAATTATATAAAAATCAGGGGCCTAAGCTGCTCCCACTCCCCTTCCCCTCACCCTTGGCATGTGACAAAGCCCCAGCAAGCACCTGAGGCTACTAAGCACGAGTCATAACCCATAAATGCCGTAGGTGGGTGCATACATAGGATGTACAATGGGGCCTCAACTTACGATGCTAATTCATTCCCAGAGATGGATCGTAAGTCTAAATATCGTAAGTCAAAGCAATTTTTTCCATAAGAAATAAAGGGAATTGAATTAATCCATTCCTCACCCTCCAAAATATTAACATACAAATACATTTTATACTGAATACAATGTTTTTTCTAACTACAATACAGTACCAAAGTTTATCTTACCTTTATGGAGGGCTCTTGATGGCGTATGGAAGATGGTGATGAGGGGGGGGAGGAGGAGAGTTGTTACTGTTTGGAAGGGAAGTCCCATTCCATTATCACATCAGGCAGTGATGTTTTCTCTGGGGTACTCTCTCTTTCCTATGTTTTGCCTGAATACTTGCACTAGGCCCTAGTTGTGGTTCAGTGCTTGTTTGTCTCACTACAAATTTGTCAAGATACATTTGTTTTTCCCTTCCTTTTAACATTTGTCTGTAATGATGCATCACTTTAGCACCCATAATGTCCTTTTTCTTAGCCAGTATGGTGGATATCGTTGACTGAGATTTGTTGTACTGCCTAACCAGTCCAACAACCCGCACATCATCTTCATATTTACGAATGATCTCTTGTTTCTGCTCTATGGTCATCCTTACATGGGATCTCATATGTTGAGCCTTACCACTGACTTTCCTGGGACTCATGGTGTGATATATAATAATTACTTTAATGTTCAAAATGCAAAAAATCACCACAAAAGCAAAATTTCTTATAGGCGCGATCATCACTAAGCGGGCAGCTGTAGTAAACTGAGGCAGGTCGGCCGCGTGATCGGGAACCACGCGCTCGGTCAACCCGAACGTGTCCCAACAAATATCGTAAGTCGACGACACCATCGGATGTCGAGTCACATTTTTCTATAAAATTTACATCGTAACTCGAAATTATCGTAAGTAGGGGCAATTGTAAATCGAGGTGCCACTGTACTTCCTATATGATCTCACCACAGCTTATTGGCTAAGCAGGTCACAGAGTTATCTGACCCTTTGTCATTAACTATTGACCCATGACCTGACCAGCTGAAAGGTGTGAACTCAACTTACTCTGATCTAGACAGACCAACTGCCACCAGATTCACCTCTTCTTCACTATACAATATATCTGTATTTCAGGCAATTTATGGCATTACACACAAACTTATGGCGACTGTAAAATTTCTCTGCAATGTAGCTCTGTTTTTACATATAAAGTTGTATGTGCTCTATGCATAGTTTCCCAGAAACATAACCATAATGCAGAGCCTGAGTCAGCTGTGTACTGTATCAGCAGTTTTTGTTATTCAAAAAGCTGTATGTGTCAGGTGTTATATTTTGTATATAAATTTGCTTAAATATTAATAGATTATTTAGATACTGGCTTTTCCAGACACACGAAGAAGCAATAACATCTTTGATGGCCGAGATCTTTCCAGTCTCACACAAACATCTACCTATTCTCCTCTACCAGATCACAAGCAAGTTTCGTGATGAATTAAGGCCACGTTTTGGGCTCATAAGGTGATTTTTTTTTAGTTTATTTTTACTGTAGTTCAGATCATTTTATATCCTTTTAACAAATGAAGAGCTGCTGTAGCTTACTTTGTCCCAGTCTGCTATGTATTCACCTAGTTGTGCTTGTCGGGGTTGAGCTCTGCTCTTTCGGCCCGCTTCTCAACTGTCAGTCAACTGTTACTAACTACTTTTTCTGTGGGGAGCCCCTACGGCTCCCTGGAGCTTATCGGGCTAATGTGTGTTATGTTAGACCGGGACATTAGCTAAGGAGTTCAGACCTACCAGGGACCAGCGCCAGAACCTGGCCCCTTCAGAGAGGTTTCAGGGAGCAATGGCCCTGGAAAACCCCATATGGTTGGGGGTTTTCCTTATCTGCCATCGACCGGGGTTAGGCACCCAGAAAGGTAGGCGTAACAAAACAAACCCCACATGGTAAGACACTACAACAAAAACCGAACAGAGAGGTAGAAAACTCCCTACAATCCCAAGGAAACAAGCAAACAAGCAAACATCACACTTTACTGCCGCGCCGATCGTCCGCGCAGCCCTCCCCACCCCGGGAGGGGGAGGGGGGAGCCCCGGACCTACCGCGCCGGCTGCCAAGCTCCAGTTCGTTCGCTAATGTCAACCGGGATTGACGCTTCTCTGGCCTCAGTTTCCTAGGCGGTGTTTGCCTTGTGTGGCGTTCACTGCCGTGTGTTGTGGTGTGCGGTGGCCAGGAGTACTTCATCAGTGCCGGGGCTGCATGTGCTTAGTGGCTGACTTCCCTCAGCGCCCTGTGAGTACTGCCCTTGCGTTACAGGGTTATCTTCCCTGGGGCGTTCGGGAACCATTCCCGTAGAGGTTCTTGCTGCTCGGCATTTGCCTCGCCCTTGGGGCCAGCTGGGGCTTGGGGCCCTTGTTTGGCCCTGGGTAGGGATTGGTATTGTGCTGGTTAGGGCGTCAAGGTGTTGCGCAGCCTGCCACCTAAGCGGCGGCCGGTTTCTGTTGCCTCTGGAGACGGTGTACTTTTGCGGGGTTTTTCTTTTGTTTTTCTTTTTCTTGCCTGGTGGGGGTCTGCCTAAGGTAGTTATAGTTCCACTGGTAGTGTTTGGCGGCCCTCTGCTAGGCCCCCGTGCTTGTACACGTCTCGGGGGTTTTCAGTGCTATAATCTACCCTCTTGTTATGTTTGGGTTTCTTAACCGGTTAGCAACACCTTGCCCGGGCTTCCCGTAGTTGTTACCCTACGGGCCCTGGAAACCCCTGTCTGGGCTCGGGGGACCATTGAATGTGTCTTCCGGGTTCCAACCCGTCTTGTACGGGATCGTTGGTTGCTGTTCCCTTGTCTCCGGGTGACAGTCGCCATTTTTACCTCCGTCATGCTGCCTGTTGGGTCACTGACACCTTGACCCGGAGTCTTGCGAGTGATTCTCTGCTTGTTCTCCAGTACTCTCCTGATGTTATTACTGTTCAGAGTACAGGCGGCATCCGTGTTGCAAGCTAGGTTAGGTTGCTGCAACATGCTAGGTTGGTTTCCCACTCGAATGCCCCGTGGCCGCCCCGTTTGGTTAGGTGCTGCTCGCCCCTTTCTCTCCATGTTCCCGGCTCCGGACCGTCTGCGTGTTTCTGGGTCGGGGCGGGGTTCAGTTGCGGCAGAGACTCGGGCGGTTTTCGGGGGATGCCCCGTTCGGGTTGGGGACGGAGGTTTGAGCCTGTGCCTCCTGCCAAGGCTTCTGGGTCTTACCAGCGGCCCTTTCTTGTTGCCTTTCCCATGGGCTCTTGCTTTTCTTTCAGGGCGGAGGGCTTGGAGGACGGCTCTGCCCCGGGGCCTCTGTTGTTGGTTCCCGGGGCTGTGGGGGATGCCTACTAGCAGTTCTGGGGCGGTTTTGCCCCTTCAGGGGTTTTTCTGCTGTTGGGCGTCATTTTTCGCCCTTCCAGTCTGCTAGCTTCCCACATTTGCTGGCGTGTTTTTGTGTATTAAGCGTCAGTCACAGCCCCTGCTGGCGGCCATTTTCGTCTGCCGGTTTCCTGGCGTGGCCACCAGGGCGGCGTTGCCGTTTGTTTACATGCGTCTGGGTGTGCGAGCGAGCGTCTCTGGTGAGTTTTCAAAAAAAATTTGCAGGGTTTTTGTTTTCCTGTTGTCGTTTCTTTGTTTTTCTGGTGTTTTCTTGCCGTTGCCTGTTCCTCTGGGAACGTTTGGGTGTTGATTTTGGGTCTGAGCCTCTGGGTTTCGGCTCAGTGCCCCTGGCTGGTATGCTTGCTCCCACACCTTGCCCCTCGGTTTTCGGTCTGTTGGGACCGTTTTCCCAGGGCGTTCTGCTGGGGTCTGTGCTTTGCCTTTTAGTGGTGTTCTCCGCCGGCAAATGTGGTGGTTTGGGCTCCCCCTGGTTCGATTCTGGGTTCCTTTGGGTTCCTTGGTTTCGTTCTGGAGGTTTCTTCCTCTTGGGCCCCCTTTTGTGGGTTCAGGGGACTTTGTTTCCTCGTGTGACCCGGTTCTGCCTTTTGGGGTTCCGGGGTCTTCCTGGCTTGCAGACTGAGCTTTTTGGGTCTTGGCACATGTTGTGGTTGTGCTGGGACTTTGTGGTTTTGCTGTCGAGGTGGGCCTTTTGATGCAGTTTTGTGCCTTCTTTGCCTGGCCGGCGTAGTGCTCTTTGCCACTAGTCGGCGGCTTGTGCTTTTACAATATATGTCCTCACCTAGTTGTGCTTGTGGGGGTTGAGCTCTGGCTCCTTGGTTCTGCCTCTCAACCGTCCGTCAACAGGTGTATCGGTTCCTGTGCCTCTTGGGCTGTCATGTCTACATGTGACATTGTATGGGGGTCAGCCTCGTTACTTGTGTGAGGAGTCGCCACATTACTTCTTAGTGCTTTCCCGTTCCCATTCTGACACTCAAAAAAAAAAAAAAAAAAAAAAAAAAACTAATTCTATCTGTGGCTCTTTTGGGTACTCAGTTTCCACCTGTGTCCCCTAGTGCGTGTGCCCCTTGTGTTACATATCCTGTCCTTCTCAACCCTGTCGATTCCCTTGGGTATCTTGTATGTGGTGCTCAGGTCTCCCCTCACTTCTCTTCCAGCGAAGTGTGGTTTCATTCCCGTAGTCTCTCCTCATGACTTCGGTAGTGTACTTTTTCTTTCTGAAGGGGTTCTGTTCCCTTCTCTGTTGACTGGGCGCTGGGGGAGCAGCTTGCTCTGTTGCCTCTCGCTTGGTCCCGCTGTTGGTGGGCGCTTTGGGTTGTCTTCCGGCCTCTGCTGGCGTCGGAGGACGGCTTCTCCCCCTTGGGGGGGGGTTCAGAGCTGGCGGGGTGGGCTTCTTCCCTGCGCTTCGTCATTTCCTCTTCGTGGGTGCGTGGGGCGTGGTCGTTCCGCCCCATCCTTCTGGGCTTCCCGTCTGCTCTTTGCAGTCATGAGCTTTTCCAGTCTGCAGTTCTTCTGGACTACTTCCGTCTGCGCCCTGGATCCTCTGCCCTGCTCGGAGGACTGTTGTCTCCTGTTCGGATTCTGTTAGGGCCGGGTGCATGGATGGTGGACCTGGACCTCCAGGTCACTTCTTGGCACATTCCTCTCCAGTTTTTCTGGGGCTAGCACGGTTGGTAATTACCTATGTGTACTTACCTAAGTGTAGTTACAGGATGAGAGCTACTCTCGTGGTGTCCCGTCTTCCCAGCACTCTGTCATATAATGCTTTGATTATAATTGTCATATTGTCATATAATGATTGTCATATGTCATAATATGTCTTCATATGATTGTCATACAATGCTTTGGTGGTGGGGCTTCAGGTTTGCTGTTTTTATTGCATTCCCTATTTTGTGAAGGGCACTTTGTATACTCTTTGCATCTTTACCGGATCTTAGTGCCCTGTCTGCGTCTGAGATTCGGTGTCTGGCCTACCTCGACGACTGGCTGGAGTGGGCTCCCAGTCAGTCCGCTTGTCTGCTCGCCAGGGGATGGTTCTTTCCAGATCACTGGGTTTGGTTTCCTGGTGATCTGGAGGTTTTACCTTCTGTTCCGTCCCGGGTTCGGACCTGGGCCTTGTTTCAGGCTCTTGGGCCCCTCATTGTCTTCCCTCCAGAAGTGTTACTGTGGCTGTGGTCCCGCCTTTGGCTGTTCAGGAGGGGGTCCCGGGTTGCTCAGCGGTTGCTTGGGCGGTTGTGCGGGAGTTTGCACTTCGGCGTGCTTGTCTGCCCGCAGAGTCGGGTTTGGCTCCGGCGTCGGTTGGTTCCTACGGAGACTCCACTTCCGCCTCTTGCATTCCTTGGGTTCCTCTGGGGATCTGGTGTTGGTGCTGCGTCACCAGCTTCCTCTTTGGGGTTTTCGGGGTTCCGTGCCTTGGCGGCTCCCCGAGCCTTCGCTCGATGTGTTCACGGACGGGTCGTCTCTCGGCTGGGGCTTTGTGACCTGTGCTCACCAGGTCGGCCGAGGTTGATGGAGTCTGTCCGTCGGGCTCACAGCCCGGTTCAGGTGTTCATGGCTGTCTGGTTTGCGCTTCGGAGGGTTTAGGTCACTAGGTACTCTACCATTCAGCTCTGTTTGGACTGTTCTCTGGTGGTTCTTGCCGGAACCACAGGGGGTTTGGTTAACCGTGTGGCTCGTGTCCGGGGTGTGTCCTGCGTCCTGGTGGACAGCTGTCTCGGTTCATTCCTCTTCGTGGGTTGGCCAGTCGTCGCCGATTCGTTTTGTTGGCTCTGTTGGGCTTATGGACCCCTGGCCATGGACGTCTTCGGGTCGGCGTGGTCTCGGCGTCGCCCGTTTTGTGGCGCCCTTCCCACCTGCGAGGACTTCACGGTGGAGGCTTTCGGCAGGCCTGGTCGAGGTGGGGGGTACCTGTACCTCTTCTCCCGGTCCAGCTGTTGCTTCGGGTTCTGGCTCAGTTGCAGCCCATTCCCACGAGAACAGTCCTTATGGTTCCACTGTGGCCGGCCCGGCCTTCTTTTCAGACGCTGCTTGATAGGTGTCCGTACCCGGGGCGTTTTTCCTGAGGCTTCGCCTCTTTCGGCAGGCCGAATCGGTCCTGTCCGTGACTGGTTC